TCCTCACTTCTTGCCTTTATTAGGTCAAGGGTTTCCTTTTCTCTTGTTCGTGCCTCCAATGCCAGCCTCCGTGGTCACCGCAGGCCACGGTCTCAAGATGCCCGCCAGAGAGTCATTGACTCTGATGCTTCTGTGGTCCTTGCTGCTGCAGAGTGCTTTCGGTAACTATCCGTGGTGTGTTTGGCTACTGTTCTGCTTCAGTACCCCCCCCCACTTTTTCATGATTTTGCATGTTATCGTTTTCTCGGATTCCGGTTTTCCACTCTGTTATGTTCGAATCCATAGTCTGTTTAGTCTGTACACGATTTGTACGCAACTTCTCATTTTTTTTTGTTTTTGTTTTTTTTTACCAGGCGTGGGCCATCCCCTGATCATAGGTGCAAAAGACTACATTAAAATAATTTTCAGATCAAAATATATATATATATATATACACTCAGACACAAAGGATCTCCAAGTTTCTCAGTGTTGCTACTCTGAGTTTCGTGCAAAAGCACTCTTCAGGCAACTTACTCTTCTCTCACATCAGTATCCCTTTACATACCAGAAAAGACGAAAAGAAGCACCCTAGGTGGGAATCACAGGTGGCACGATCAAAGTCAGCTACAGCTGTTCGCCTAACTTAGCCTCAATAATAAAGGGCCACAACGCGAAAGTCCTCAGACAGCCAGAAGAAAAGAGATGTAACTGCCGTATCAAAGGAAACTGCCCACTCAACGGGGACTGCAACGCCAGCGAGATAGTGTACGAAGCTACAGTGGACTCCAATCTCAGCCGGAAGAAGTATATCGGCATCTCCGAAACCCCGTTCAAACTCCGGTTCAACAACCACACGTCATCGTTCCGGAATGCCCCACACAGAAACAGCACAGAATTGTCAAAGCATGCATGGGCATTGAAGGAGGCAGGTGAAGACGTCAACATCTCGTGGAGAATCAGGCAGAGATCCAGCGCCTACAAAAGAACCTCGAAGCGGTGCAACCTATGCCTATCGGAGAAGATCGCCATAATGAAGAGTGACAAGGCATCGCTCCTCAACACCAGATGCAGCCTGGTCACAAAATGTCGCCACAGCACCAAGTACCTCCTATCGGAGGTGACCTGAACTGTAGACTGCGCTTGCTATCTGTTACACATATACAGAACTCCTGCTATCTAATGTGCATGCATCCTACTTCACTTTATGCACACCACCCGGCCTGCGCGATTGCTCACACTACCACACTTGCCACATTTATCTTCACCTGTGATTCCCACCTAGACTGGCTAGCGTGCTTCTTTTCTCCACCTGTGATTCCCACCTAGGGTGCTTCTTTTCGTCTTTTCTGGTATGTAAAGGGATACTGATGTGAGAGAAGAGTAAGTTGCCTGAAGAGTGCTTTTGCACGAAACTCAGAGTAGCAACACTGAGAAACTTGGAGATCCTTTGTGTCTGAGTGTATAACCCCGCTCTGTCTTAGGACATTGAGCACTTTTTGCCGACGCAAGAAATACTTCTATTGTTCTATATATATATATATATATATATTTGAATATGCATTGTGGCCAGCCGTCTTTGATTGTACGGTACGGTACGGGATAGGTACGGGACAGGTACGGGACAGGTACGGGACAGGTACGGGACAGGCACGGTCGAGGGTAATATGCACCGTCTACCGCCTTGATGACGGCAACAAAAGAAAAGGAATGTTATAAATTTTTCAAAAGTAGAAAGGAAAAGGATATATGGAAACGAGTTAAGAGTAACTCTCCATCACTGTAACTAGATACTATATACACTCAGAAAGTGCAACAACTAGGCACAAAACTGACAGAGTACTGAGACATTCGACGTCCTGACACCTAGCTTCAACACTATGTTCTTTTCCTTTCTACTTTTATTATTGGCTCAATACCGGAGTTATAAATTTTTCAATTCTCCTATTTTTTTCAGGCATTACCTGGGATTCGAACTCGCACTATCACCTTACATGCATTCCCCCGAACACTTCGAATTCATACTCATTCTTCCAAGTTGCTTCACGTTATGATCTTGCGTTTGAAAACCCTATTTGAATATTGCGGCCAGCTGTATGTGGCCAGCTGTGTTTGATGGTACGGCATGGAACGGGACAGATACGGCATAGCGCCAGGCGTGACACAAACACACAAACAAACAAACAACCACCAAATTAAAGCTATGTGGACCCTGGCTAGCGCCAGACGTTACTGAAGTAACGTCTTCTGCATAGCAACGGGAATAAACACCAAATATTGATCCCGTAGCTATGCAACAGACGTTACTTCGGCGGAATAGCGCGAGCTCCAGTGTGGGAGCAAACCCAATCCAAAACAAAACCATCGCCGAAGTCGCAACCTCTACTTCGTACTATTACTTCCTCCGCGTCATCGAAATTGTCGCAGTTTGACTTTTGGTGTAAAACGCGGTATTTACTCACCAGCACTCGTACCAGAGGCAAGGAATCGGACATAGGCGATAGTCATCAGTATAGGGTGACGGCAAAGTTCTATTTTCTGTTATTGGAAGCTGGAATTTTTGAACTAGACGCAATTTCTTCGCTGATGTCGCTGCGCTGGTAATTTCGACTCGCTGAGATCGGTCAGGCGTTGCAGCCTGCACATTTCTCGTGCTTATGGCCATTCACTCAAGCCCCATCACTGTTTTACCTTAGCTGGGGTGAGAATGACTTCGTGGAACAAGTGGCAGCGCCTGGAGAAACATCGAGGAGTCGGCAAACTAAATGCCTCAACAGCGATAAAATTTGTCGCTCTGGCTGAGACACTCAGTACTAGTACATGATTGTACATGTACATGCAAGAGCCGTGTAGACTCTACACGTAGTGCTAGTGATGCACGCGCAGGTCCCGTACATACCGTGTATAGTGATGCTGAAAAAGAGGGCGCGCTGGACGTGATACTACACTTACCTGCATGAGCTGTTGTGGGCATGCCACGGCTAAAAAACGTTCATTTCAAGATCGAGGTGATTCCGAGGTGATTCCGCCGACGGTAATCAACCGACCTCGCAACGATCGTGTATTCTTACTAGGCTTCGTTGGTGGTGAAGTAGAAATCATCCAGAGCTAGCAGACGACAAGCATAGCAGCTCTTGTCCTGTGGAGAAAGTCAAAGCGTTTGAGATGAGGCGCGACCAACTTTCCTTGAAATATTTCGGAACGATATTTTTGCGTCCATTGACATCAGTGACGACGAGGACTTCATCTCTGCATGAAAACTCTCAGTCCAATTGTCCTGGAACGTTACTCTAGTCTTCAGACTATCATACTGTGTAATAAGTTTTGAATGGCTTAGTTTATGGAGTTGTCAGTAACAAGTGACAAGTCACTAGTCAAACTGCGACAATTTCGATGACGCGGAGGAAGTAGTATAATATTGCTAATAATACTGCTCACTATTTTTGATGACTTGAGGGTACTTGATCCTGACGACTGTTCGCAATTGACGTCCGTGGAATGCTTCCAATCGCTTAATGACATTGCTGGGTACACCCCATGTTGAGCAATTGTACAGGAGTATCGGTGTGATGAATTCGTTGTATAGCTTGACACGTCTGTTCTCTCTCACCTGCGAGCCTCTCACCCACAGGGCCTTTTCTATTATCTAAATAACACAATACTCATGAATTCAGCACCAACTGGTTATGATTCTGCCTCATGAAACACGTGCAGGTAGATATGGACAGCTGTACTCCCAGGTCAGCTTTTCTGATTCAGGTGCTAACAACAAAGAAGAGTACTCTCAGGCTTGTGACCACCCAATTGTCTACGCAACACCACATACTGACGGCACGTTTGTCTTTTTCTCTCCCACAAGAGACGAAAAGAAGACTACACAAGTAAAGAGAGTAGAGCAGCAACATTATTTGGCAAAATAATTTGGCTTTCAGGCTTACCGGAAATGGAAGGGATCTCGATCTGAGATCAGCGTAATGTTTGCTGCTTCCGATGAAGAGCTTATTCACAGAACCCATGCAGTGACAACTTGCCTGCAGGCAGGACTACAAGTTGCCAAGATAAACTTCATCGGGGGATGACCCTTCAGATACTCAAAAATTGAAGATTTCCACTCTTGCTGTTTTGGGTATCCAACTAGGCCAGCGGACCCTAAAGGGTGTAGAAACAAAATTGAAACGGACTACTGGTTCCAAAGTTATGACCGTTTCAAGTTCAACAATTCAAATGAAAATGAGTACGCATGGATCGAAAATTTGTGCAATTTTGCACTCATGCAGTCGGTGATTTTCACTGAAACCGCGTACTACGAGCGAGTTTTTGACTTGAAATCGTTGCTACTGGATACCATGGCGTACAAGGAGAAGCGCTGAACAGCTTCCTGCCTTGAGAACAAATCATTTGAAATTTGAACAATAGGGAACCGAAGAACGAGCTCGAGTGGATGTTCTAGACGACAGAAAAGGAAATATTTTGGACCAAAGCCAGCTGCTGCTGAAGTCGACGATGTCGTTGAGGTTCCTGAGGTCGCCAGTGATATTGAAGCGGCTGAGAAGAGCGTGTCCACGGGAAAGTTGAGCAGGAAGCCAGCCTATTAAGCTGATGAAAACTTTGACAGCAGCAAAGGCTCAGTTGTGAACTCGAACCAAGACAGTTCTGAGGACGACGATATTGAGGCGTCTGAGGGATCTGGAGAAGAGATAGAAGAGAATTGCTCGGGGAGCAACAGAATTGTGTACCAGAAATGTCTTCAGGAGCTTCTGGACGTGGCTACTGTATGTAGCGAGTGCAAATCTTGAAAATAAATATTGTTGTCTGCTGCGCCGTTGGCCTCGCATCGGTGGTGCACGTGCAGTGCGACAATGTATTATGCAGTCACAGTTGGAGATTCAACCTATGCCTGAAAGAGAAGCCGTTCTTTGACGTCAACCGGCGATCAGTGTTAGCCATGCGGAGAATTGGCAAGGGATGTGGAGGTGGCAAGGGACATGCCGCTCCGAATAAGTTAGTTCTGCGGAACCATTAACATGCCCAGCCCTGTGAACACACATGCCTACAACCATCACCAGGAAGCGCTCGTGATCGCTGAAGCAGAAGAGAAGGAGAAGAGAAAGAAGAGAAGAAGGCGAAAGAAGGGCTGGGAGGAGACCACTATTGAAGAGGAAGGAGATACTTATGGATCTGGCAAGTTTTAGTGCAGCTATCTGCCTGCATCGTGATGGTGCTCTATGAAAGGTGCTGAACATACCCTGAACTTACCCTAAATATACCCTGAATTTTCGCCATTTTTAGTGTTTTTTTGCCACTCCGCGCAGTTTCCTGGCTCATTTGTACAGAATGGACATGCGAAAGTGTACATTTTTGATCCCTAACAAAGTTTAAACCATTCACTGCCTGGATAGTTTTGGGAAAAGATTTGATATACGCTACTCAGCCAAAGCCCACAGTCAAAACTACAATAGAAAGCAGCCAATGGAGACTTGATTATGTCTTATATTGGTTGAGCTAGTAGAAAACAGTGAGGCGGGTTCAGTGGAAGATTGGATATGTATAGCTTTTCTTCCTTTTGTCCCAATTTCAGAGCAGAATAGGCCTTGTTAAAGCATTACAATCAGCATTATGAGCAGTTTTTAGAGCACTATGGCAAGCACTATACGAATATTTTGGAAGCATTATCCGCTGGACTCTAACCAGTTGTTTAGACTATTTTCACTCAACTGATCACCTACGTTCATCACCATTAACTGGACACATAAATTGGCTGCGTTTGATCTATCTTAGTATTTAATAAAAGTGCCATTAGTTTCGAAGGCAGGTATTATGTTGTCCAATAGCTCAGATGGTTAGACCAATGTTGAGGACAAGCTACATATCGAGTCCGGTTGGGTTTGGCACTCTTTTACCTTCCTTTTTACAGTCTGCTTCCGTGAATGTCCACCTACAATGGATGCCGTTGTCCCAACCTCATTCTTATACTTTACTCTTTTTTATGCAGAACTTGAATGCATTATTCCGGCACAGACTGGTGGACTACGTGTGAACATTTCGGGATCTGCAACAACCCAAGTATTACGTATAATTGCTCAGTGTGATCCCGGATACCACCTCACAGGACAAGCCAACAATGCGTGGGCGAATATATACACATGCGGACTGAATGGTAAATGGTTACCTCAGTCACCGTCTTGTACTCGTAAGTTCCGGAATTAAGAACGAGGCAGCAACATTTTCAAACACTTTCCCGTACACATGATAACCACCCCAAAAAACATATAACAGATGTTCTGCGAAACGAAAATCCGTACTTGCACTATCCCGGATGCCGCATATGTCGTCGGGCCACGCCATCACTGGACGTTCATCAAGCGACCGAAGGCGGGACTTTTTTGTTCCGTGACATGTGTAGCGTTCCAGGCCGCATATGCTTGATATGTAGGGTGGTAGCCAACCCCGACAACTATCCGAAACATTAAAAAAATTTAAAACCCTTGAAGGAATCAAGAGTAGAAAATGACCCGTAGTTAACATAGGAGAGTTAAGGTGACGATAAGTAGAGGCAGGCGCAGTTAGCTAGAGATAACACGTTTATATTACTTTATATCAGTTCATAATGTAAGGCTTACAAGCAGAGCAGACTGTGGGAAGGACAAAATCGCGGGATCCGCGTCAGCATCACTTGAATCTTCAGAAATACACAAGGTAAAGCCTTCGCTTACACAAGGCACTACTATGCGCTTTCACCTTAGTGGCGAATGTAAACCTCAAATGTGAGTAAGAGAAGAGGAGGTGAGTCTCTTAACCAATCGGGCGTGTAACGGCCCATAACCCTGTAAACTGCATCCTTGGAATCCTCACTCCGAGCTGTGAGCACTCAGTTGACCATGGATGTCTGCGCAATCGACCACGCGTAAAAAATCTTTTTACACGCTCTCTGCTATCAGCGCGGCTCGCGAACTCTCGATCTCATGATTCGAAGGCAGGGCTGCAAACCAAACCCCATATGCGTTGGACGTATGCGGAGAAGAAAGGAGACATCAAGTACAGGGAGGATCGGACACGTGGCGTGGTTAGCGCACCGCGAGTAGAGCCATCGCTAGAAAACCATTAATATGCATTAATATGCCCTGGAACCTGCCTGGGACGTACTCTTTAAACAGGGCTACAAAAATGTTAATAATGTTGGTCAACAAGGATGGCTGAAGAAGCAAGAGTATTGAGAGATTCAGATCAGAATGTTGGGTCTTTTCGGAAATTATTTGTTTGTTCGTTTGCTTGTTTCTTTTAATTGAATTCGTTTAGAAAACAGGCAATTCTGCCTTCTCACCAGAGGAAAAACCTCCGGTTCCTGCTAAGAACGAATAATATTGTGAGGGAAGGAAATATTAATACGAATCATAACATGATAATTCCAAAGCACAAAGTATGTATATTATAACTCGAATGGGTGTGTGAAATGTGTAAGCATGCAGTGAAGAACACGCAGAGAAAACATGCAGTAATGTGTAGAGATGCCGAGCAAGGAAGGAGCGCGATTAACACTAGTTACAAATTACAATTAATTCTGTTCCGAGCCAGTTTAAGTTAACCCTGTGGAGCCCGTACAGTCAAAAAATCGACGGTATACCGTCGATGGACTAAAACGCTCGTAACTCACTCGTAACTTGACAGATTTCCACGATCTAAATACCTGGGAAGAAGCCGAAGAGCTCAGCTGTCTAATGCATTAATTGCCGAAGAGCTACAATGTCGCGCTGCAGAGATATCGCGCTCGACATTTAAGTCACGGCAAAAGTGGAACTTTTTTCTCAGTGGCCTTGAGTGAGGGATTTCCCCTCGGATGACATGCTGATTCATCTAGGTAGGCTTCCTAAACGTGGCCAGTATAAAACTGTACTCAGCGCAAACAAATTGAGCATTCCACGATGAATGAGAGTGAAATGGCTGGCGTTGAGGACATTAGCTCGTATATCCAGCTCTGTGGACTGTTCGAGGCGCCGTGGCGTTGGATATGTGACTGTGTAATGGGTAGCCGAGTGGTAGGCGCGGTGAAATCAACAAGAATTACTTTTATTCTACTTCTTTCAGGTACACACCTGAGATATAATTGTTAGTGAAAGAAGAAGCGGCAAAATAACTGACTTTCTCTCCGGTGCACACCTGGAGGTTGAATAGTTCGTTATTATCAAAATCTCATCTTCATCAAAACAGAAATGCGCAGCCGCTTTTATGCAGCATACGCCGTACGCTTACATACGGAGATACACTAAATATACATCAGGCAAAGCTCTGTATTAGTTCCGTACTGCTTCCGTATTGGTCGGGCAGGAATACTACAACCTCCCTTCCTACAGATAATCACGCCCTCGTGATTTTCAAAAAATTAGTGAGGAGTTACGAACAACAGCGTCAACCGGAAGATGGCAAAATATATCGGAAATGATAACGTTTAGAGTAAACAGAAGAAATGAACTGATCACAAATCATAAAATAGAAGTAAAAGCACACCAGGTTCACACGATCTCACGGGGTCAAAAGGGAAAGAACTGTCCTCCAAATAGGACCTGAAACCACAGCACTCTTGCTGCACTACGCTGGCACAACCCGCCAGGAACATCGCAGTTCAAAAACCGAACTGAATACACTATAACTATAAGGGGCGTTGTCACACACATTGTCCCACGTTAGCTGGGTAAGCCGTGGCTCACCATGATCAGACGCCTACCAAACTAAACTGGATTCACGCACTCGCATAAAGGAAGACTGAAAAGAACAGGGAGACTGAAGGAAGAGAGGAAAGAAAATGCCATACCTAGAATCAGCGTTAGTAACCACGGCGGCGGCTGGAGCTACGGCGGAGAGCAAGCCAGGCAATACCAAACAGACATGGCACACGATCAAAGAATTGAGTGGTAAACATCGACAATCTCAGCCACCTCAATGTTCTGTTGATGCCATCCAAAACACCTTTGCAGAGATAGTAGAGGACGCCAGCCGCCCAGTGCATCTCTCATTTCCCTACGGGCCCGCCTCAAGCACTGATCTGACAGCCTTTGCACCAGTGTCTATTGCCAGAGTGAGGAAGCTCCTCGAACGTTTAAATCCGGCCAAGTCCAGCGGTGATGATGACATTTCTGCAGCCCTTCTCCGCGCACATGCAGACGTACTGGCGCCATCCCTGACTTTGATCTTTAACAAGTCCCTGAGAGAGGGCATATTTCCTGCCCAGATGAAAAGTGCTAGGATATCGCCACTCTTCAAAGGCGGAGATCCGAGCATGCCAAAGAATCATCGACCAGTGTCCTTGTTATCGATTGCATCCAAAGTGTTGGAAAGGATAGTCCACGAGCAACTCACACGATATCTAGTTCAGAGCAATTTATTCCCGCCAACTCAATTCGGCTACAGATCCCACCACTCTACATCCGACGCACTAGTGCTAGCTGTGGAAGGTATCTGTGAGGCCCGCATGAACAGACTCAACACAGGTGTAGCCTTTGTTGATATGTCAAAGGCATTCGATAAAGTGAAACATCAAACTCTTGTGCAAGATCTGTTCGAACTTGGCATCTGCGACACGGCACTCTGTTGGCTGGTGGATTACCTCTCTGATAGAGAACAGTACGTTCAGGTTGGCCAGACTAGAAGTCTCCCGTACACCAGTTACTCAGGTGTCCCCCAGGGGTCGGTACTGGGCCCACTGCTATTTATTGTCTATGCCCGCGGCATAGCAGAAGAACTATCACCGTTTAATGTGGGAGCAATCCAGTTTGCTGATGACATCTCTATACGATGTAGCAGGGAGTCTGCGGAAGCTGTTTCTGCACACCTTTCAGCTGCTGTTCAGCACCTGGCCACCTGGCTGAAGGGCCGTGGTTTAATTCTTAATGAAAGAAAGACACAGATATTGCCTATTCCCCCATCCCCATCTCAAGCACTTGAGCTGCATGTCATTTGTAATGGGCAGACGCTGCCTGTTGTGAAAACGGCCAAGTATCTTGGCCTACATTTCGACTCAGACATGAGCTGGAACACCATGACAAGCCATGTTGCACGCCGCGTTGCCGCTAAGATTGGGCTACTAAATCGAAGTGCAGCATGTTTGCCTTTTTCTTGCCGTGTTCAGTTTTTCAGGTCCTTTATACTATCAGAATTTGACTATGCATCTGCTGCCTATGCCCCTTTCTTATCGTCTTATCAGGATAAGCGCCTAAATAGTTTGTTCAAACGTGCGGCTCGCTCGGTGTGCAGGGCAGCCCCTCGCACTCACACGGCTCCCTTACTTGAACGCATGAATGCCCATACCCTCAGCATATACACCCACATGCACATCCTTGTATTCATTTGGCGCTGCCTGAACAAATCTTCAAGTACTCTGTTTGCAAGCTTTTTCACCCGTAGTCCCTCTCTCCGAACACGAGGAGGGAACAGCAAGTTACTCATCATTCCTGTCTCCCCCACTGCATCCTCAGCTAAGCGCATTAGCCATGCTGGAGCTATCCTGTGGAACCAGCTCCCAGACACAGCACGCCTCGAAAGAAAGCGCTCCACTTTCAAATCGCTAAGCCTGGCCTTTCTGTTAGGCAGTACCGTCAACTAGGATGAACTCATCTGCTTCACTACCTCTCTCTCTCTCTCTCTCTCTCTCTCTCTCTCTCTCTCTCTCTCTCTCTCTCTCTCTCTCTCTCTCTCTCTCACTCACTCACTCCTTTCTTCCCGGTTGCCGTGCTTGTGACTTTTTTCCCCTGCTGCCGTGCTCATATTAGTTATCTAACTACAGCTGTATCTTCTTCTTGGTTCTGTTTGTCCGCTTATTATTATATTTTCTTTTCTCTTATTATCAGTGGGACCATTGTCATTAGGTTTAGGCCTGTTTTGGAACTCCACTTTAAATAAAGCCAAACAACAACAACAAGGTTTTATCTTCATCTTGGTTGAGCCGGTCACCCAGAGCGGCTAGCTCGGCGTCAGACAAATGACCTCCCTCCTCGTCTTGAAGCGTGGTCTTCACATTGTCGATAGCATCACTTTGCGCGACGTAAAGAGTGATGGTCTAGCCAGGAAGAGTGTTGACGAAAATCTGCATTCCACCACGGAGACGAAGTACCAAGTGAAGAGTGGGCTCCTGCTTCCGACTGCGTGCTTGCAAAAATCAAACGCTGCTGGTCTTGGAGAATACCCTCCTTGTCTTGGGCA